CCCTTCCAAGACAAGTTGACCAACCCATTCGACGTATTGGACATACCGAACGAGGAAGTGGCCAGGATCAAAGCCATCGGCGACATCGACACGGCCGGCATGGAGGCGAGCCTCCTGGTCTCCAGGCAAACCCGCAGCGTCTCCCTCTTCTACGAGGACCGTCTCTATCGCGGCAACCAGCAAGCTCTCGACCGTAAACACTACAAGCAGCTCGACATGACGACGTGGAAGGACTTCCTCACGGTCGGCACCGAGTCGCCCGCCAAGGTGTACACCCGGTTCAGGGCGCTGGCCGTCTTCTTCGCTGGCGCTCCCCGCTCCTTTTTCCCCAAGCGGGCCGACGTCCCGAACGGCCCCAAAGACATGACGCGCCCGGACATTTAGGTGATGCCGGAGCACTTTGTTCTCTGCTGGAACATGAAGCCGTCGTTGAGGAGAGGCCCCCCGTACATGGAGGCCGTCATCCCTCGCCCGCTGCTTGCGGCGCGCGACGAGTGGGCTCGCCGGCACCCACCCCCACCCCGCCGTGCCCAGCCGCGTCGCTCCAACTCCCCACGATACATCGTCATCGACGACGACGAGGACCACCGCCCCCCGCCGAGCAACTACCGCGACCGCTCACAGCAGCAGGCCCAGCCGCAGCCCCAGCAGCGTGCCACCGCCTGGTCGTTTAGGCCTTGGGCTGGCGATTGCTTTGACCTTTATGAAGGTAGCCCCTACGGCTTGGGCTCCTTTCGCCGTCGGTCTGGTAGGGACCAGCAGCCCCCTCCCCGCACCCCCGGCGCCGGGCCCGGCTCCGGCCAGCAGGGTTCCGAGCACGCCCGTCGCGGCGGCGGCCCTCCTCCCTCCGACGCCACGTCCTCAGGCTCGAGCCGGCAGCGGCGGCAGCAGCAGCAGGAGCAGCAGCGGCCTCGGCCCGGCGCGGGAGGCGCGTTCGAGGGCGTCGACGACTACCCCTTGTGCAAACCCAAGCCCGGCGAGTACAGCGTGGGCACGATGGTCCTGCTCGGCACGCTACGCACCCAGTTCGACCTGCCCCCGGCCCAGCGTCAGGCCGTCGTGGCCTCGTTTGACGTTAGAGGCCACCTGAGCTTCCGCGTAAAGACGCAAAACGTCTACGGCGTCCATATCCGTGATGCCATGTCGTCCACCATGCCGCTGGACCACCTGCGCGACAACAAGGTCGATTTTATTGTGCATGCGTTTACCTTATGCCTTCCGGCTGGGGATGGCCAAGTCCGACGACAATCTGTTCGCTTTGAGGCACGCG